AGTGTCCAGCTTCATGCCGACCACAGAGCCAGCCTTCCTGATCAGTTTCTCCAGCCTGGATTTAGTTTCCTGTTGTTAGAAAACATCACCCCAAAGACACAGACTGTTTCTGTCCTCAGCTCCTCGGTGGTTGTGGGAAAGCGAGAAGTCAAGAGAAACCACGAAGAGCACCCTGGCTGAGTACTGCCAAAAGGTCATCAGCCTGCCGCCTCACATCTCCCGCTGCAAACACCTCTCCAGCTTCTTCAAGGTCCGACCGGAGGATGAAAACCCGCCTGCCCCAAACACGTCAGTACATCACGCACGTCTCTGTTGACGTTACAGTTAAACATAGAACGACATCTAAATGACTCTTTCCTCCTCAGACTGAAAAGAGCCGAGACCTTTTTGGTGTCCAGAGACCAGGCTCGAGACGTGGCGTCCGGTAAGACTCACACTCAGCCTTCTGTTATTCATTCAGGACCACTATGGTCAGAGGCAGCAGCTATATTTGGTGTGATGGCAGCCATGTCCTCTAAAAGGTGAAGGAAAGCACAAGACAGAGCAGACAAAAGATACTGATTGGATCAGAGACCCTGAAAGGGAGGAGCTGAGGAAAAGGTGGCTGCAAAGAAACTCGGAGAGACCAACGTGTCTATTTCCTGATCCCACCTCAAGATTTTCCTTCATAACTCTGTTTATAAACAGACTGTGAGCTCTTTGATCAAATGTTTTAATAAAAACAAACGTTTTGGCCACACGGTCACTGGGCACATGTTCAGAAACTGGAAGACGTCATCATCCAGATGTTGATGTCTTTTTAATGAGACTAAAACAGATTCTTGTGTTTGACTTCTCAGAGATTTCCGCCCCCATCATCTTGGACACCTACAGAGTGATCGCGGACTTCGAAAAGTCGACCAAGTATGAGATCACTCTGCACACCGGGGACCTGGTGGAAATCGTGGAGAAGAATGAGAACGGTGATAAAACAACTGAGTTTATTTGTTATTCTGAATTTTACAGCCTTCGTCTTTTCCCGGAAAATTTTATTTGCCAGTGATTTTTTTTTTTCTATAAACCACATCAGGTGAAAATTAAGACTTGCTTTTTGGTTTGCTAGCCCCACCTCTTGAGTGACATTTTATTTCTGGCCAAAACGTTGCATGTTTCTTCTTTAAAAGGAAGCAAAGGGCATTTCTTATGAGCAGCACGTCCATCATTTCCTGGTCGTCTCTGCAGTAAACGACCATATAAAGAAGTCAGTGCGATGATATTAGAGGAAAGCTTCTGACTCACTGGGATTACGCATACATTAGTGTCCCACATTCTTTCTTAATTTCAGTAAAAAGAAAAACAACAATAATCAAACATGTCTGCAGGTAAAAAAGACAAAACGTAAAACAGTACAGAGTTTATAATAAAGGTGCAGATTTGAAATCCCTGTTAGGGGAAATGAAAAGATACAAATACTCTGAAGGTTTTTGTTGTTTTACTATTCAGTGATGATAAATTCTAGAGAAACAGGAAGTTGGTGTTACGGCACAGTTAGTCAAGTTTGATGGTGACACTGCCTGAAAAGGAGGAGCTGAGGTGGAGGAGAGGTTGCAAAGCAGCTTGCAGATGCAGAAGTAAAACAAAAGTGTTTGCTCTGATGGTGCCTCGAATTGTTTAAGTAGTTTTATGCGATCTGTCCTGATGCACGCTCAATCATCCAGGTAAGTAAATCCCAAAAGGTTGATTCTGTTTATCTGGACGTAACGTTTTCAGTGGGAGAAATGTTTCGTCGCTCATCCAAGTGAACATCCTCAAGAAACTTAAGGAAGTCCAAGCTCCTCAGCATGACTGAAAACCTACACAGACATCTAAATACCA